CCATTTAAGAGCCCTTTTGAGTGTCAATGGCCTATGACGGAGACTAACCCACTCTTGAATCACCCCCCAAATTTCCGAGCTAAAGGGACACTCAAGAAATTAATAAGGGACCCGATGATTCAAATAGGTGACCCGAGCTATAGGGGCCTAAAAAATTTATGTCATTACTTCAAGGAGTAGTTAATCTAAACTTATCATCCTTAATTCTATATATAGTTTTGGCCTAAATGCTGGTGTTAGGCTGTCTTAAGTCTTAATATTAGATATATCGACCATATGTTTTTGTAAAATGTATTGCCATACTGTGAATGAATATAATATTTTTCTTTCCCAATGGGGCATTTTCGTATGAAATGTATGATTACATCATTATGGTTAGATATATTACATCGTTATTTTTATTTTAAGAAATATGAAAACGCGCAGCATATCGGGCTGGGAAATATTTTCATTGTCTTCCTTTATGTTAAATTGTTTATTTGAATACCAAAAATTTTATGTAATATACCTTCCAGATAAAGTTTTATAGGAAAATTATATTAGTCACAATCCTTCAAACTTTAAAAAATTACATTAATCAATACAACGATTCGTATACAGTTAACTCTGTAATCTTTATTTTTACTAGTATTCAGATTTCTAAAATATAATACCATTATATATAACTTATAGTTTTAATATTATATATATATATATATATATATAACTTATAATACTTTATTATAATTGTGTATGTGCACATAATAAAATATTTTGCGTTAATATATATGTCGAAATTTAATTTTTCCAATCTCCTTTCCTAGTAGGTATGGACATTTTGTTTGTTTTGTAATCTCTACATATAAATACAAATTGATGAGTACAAGATTCTTTTGTTAATATTCTTTCTTTTCGCCTATATAAAATATATAAATAAATTTTAAAATCGAGCGAGCGAGAAAAATGTTTTTCGGGTGGGTGAGGGAATATGAAGAAGGAACCAAAATGTGGCGTGATGAATAATGTGATAAAAAGATGGCGACCAACAATATTGCATGAATTTCATGAGCCCATCACAAAAGCTGTTTCACGGTTGAGCAACCTCTTCAAGTTTCGCGATTGTGCTTGCAACTTACATGTGATATTCATTGGAGGATTATAATGAAGCCCGGCCCGCCGCAAATGTATATGTAAGCTTTTCGAGAGTAGTACATGACTACGTAAGCTTTCGAAAGGTTTATAAATTTGGGCGTTTAAATTCAAACTCATTTAATATCAAGGATACACTTTTATTATTAATTAATTCACTAACTATATATTAATTGTTTCTTTTAAGTTTATGTTAAGTTTATTTATAATTTAAAACAAATTCATTATATCAAATCTCGTTACATGTCTGAAAAAAATGATTCATATATCAAACATAAACTATTAATAATTATCAATGAACATTGAAATTCAAAAATTCTCATAAATATACACACTCAACTTCTCGAATAAACCCTCAAATTCATGATCCGTCTAAAACCCTAGAAATCTCCAAAGTCAGATCCTACACCTCGTCGTCTCCCTTGTCGCGGCCGAAGCGAGGCTGAAGCCAATCGAGCTATCGCGCTCGAGCCGAACGACAACATTTCGCACATCCATAGGGCCTCGCGCTCGATCTGCAGGGTTTCAAGACCTCCACCCTCAGCTCGTTTGACGTTGTCTTCCAAGAAAATCGTATGAAATCCTAGAAATCCCCCAAAGCCATAACGACGCTGCTTCGCACATTCTCATGTGCTTGCGCTCGATCTACAGGGTTTCACGACCTCCGTCCTCGACTCGGTCGACGCCATCTCCATAGAAAATTATACAAAACTCTAGAAATCTCCCAAGTTAGATCCTCCACTTCCGACGTCATCTCCTTCATGTTGGGTTTTGTTAGGAACGTCAACGACATGCACGTCTGAATTTGCCAAAATAAACTCTAACGCAGCGGAATATATAGTTAGGGTTAGGACATTACCTTTTAAAATTTTTTCAGACTTCGAGACGTTTCTAATTTTCTTTGTAGGAAATCATCTGAACCGCAAAGCCCGTTGGGCAGCTGGATTGGTCCTTCTCGTTTGAATCGGGTCGTCGGGTCACGAATGGATCACCGGGTCAAGACTCGTCGAGCTCGGGCCGACCGAATGTGTTTCAGTTTGGTCGGGTCGCGGTTGGGAACGACTGATCTTAGTTGGGCACGCTGCGGCTCGGTCACGGTGCATCTCGGGTCTGGTCGTTGACTGATCGCAGATAGGCAGGCGGGCGCAGATCGACAACAAGGAGTGCGGACGCGTGCATTTGCAGCACTGCAGCTTTCCTATGCCGACGTGGACTGGCGCGAGCGTCTGGGATCATGCGGGCGTGCGATGCACGTCTCTTTGTCGTGTGCGGACAGGGACGCGCATACTTTTTGCACTGAGGGTCGGGCGCGACGAACACAGGCAGTGGCGATGCGCGAGCAGGAAGACGAGGCTGGTGGCTCGCTTGATTGTCCTTGGCGGTCGTCGCTAGGGACTAGTGTCGGTGTATGGCAGCGTGCAGCTGGGGGGCGCTGGCTTGCGGCTGGGTGCTGGTGGTCACCGGCGGCGATGGAGGGCGGCGACGATTTCCGACGGTTGTTGATGGCGGTGATCGGCAGTAGTGGGTGGCTGGAATCTCACAACTAAAAGGCTCGAATAAATATCACCCAAGAGTCTTCTAATGTATTACTTAAACACCTTTTTCGATTAATCTTGGTGGTGCGATTAATCGTATCTCTCGGACTCTCGAATATATGAAGTTCTCGATTTTTCTCCCTTTGGGAAGACCTAAAAATCGAGCAACATATGCGTAAGGGAAGAGGTTGGGACATGATGTATTTATAGGCTACATTATGGAACTTAAGGAGGTACTTGTTGATAAACGGATTTGATCAACTTTTATAGATTTATATTTATTCGATTTATAGTGTGATGAGACGATTTTAATGAACAACTGAGAATTATCTAGGAGAATATCAAGTCGGTATTTTGCGGACTTGAGGTCGGTTTTTCTTGTACAATAATGCTAAAATTGGCAATAGCCGAGGTGATTAATGCTGAATTTATGTGTCGGGCCAAAGATCCTCGTATTGCCTTTATTGCTGCTATTTATAGTAACCGGGGACTCATCTTTTGAGGAGATTCGGCGGCATTTAATGAGGAATGACATCCGCGCAGCTTTTTCTGTCTGTGGGGCCCCTTTGCGTAATGATGTCTCCACATGGGCT